AGGTATTACTGTACGTACGTACATATGTGTGTATGTATGTTTATATACACACACACACACATACACACACACATATATGTATGTATTAATATAATATAATACAATATAATAGATACACTAGACAAAAGCTAACTTTCAATATAAATACATACAGTGTAATATAACTGAGTTACTAACAGTTAAATCAGTTCATTTAAAAATAAAAATTAAGCATGTATACTAATATGCGTGGTTGGTTCTTTTACGTATCTTCAGATCAAGACTTTCTACAGGAGAAAGAGTAGTGAGGTCTTCAGACACTTGTCTGACTGAAAGAGAATGAGCAGAGATACATGAGAGACAATATCAGACACATTTTAAATGTTACTGATAAGATAAATTTTAGAAAAGTTAAAGTAGCCACCATTTTTCTTGATGCAGAAAAGGCTTTTGACAGTCTGGAATAGCCTCTCATGCTTGCAGTTTTGAAAAACATGAATGTGGCTTTTGTTTTTTTACTTGGATGCAGCATATTTATAAAGATCTAAAGCCAACATAATAGGAAATGGCTTTTTATTACAACAATGCACCATACCGAAGGGGACAAGAAAAGGTTGCCTCCTTTCCTCTTCTCTATTTTAATTGGCATTAGAGCCATCAGCAATGAAAATACATCAAGAAAAAAATTTCAGGAGTTAAACAGCAACTCAAGAACATTTGAAACTCTTACTTGACAAGAGTCCAGTTTACCTGATTGGTTTCATTATCTTGAAATGCATAGCATAGTATTAAAATAATTGTAAAAATCAAGGGGAATATTGAGAGACCTGCCTGAATTTGAAAATCCTATAATACAAAACTCTGGCCTTAGTTATTGAATGTGGATGTGTGACTCGTATGACTCAGAACCCGACCAGGTCAAATATTATATGATTAAATGGATGCAGAATTTGAATGCAACAATAGAGATGGAACAATGGGAATTTCAATTGAAGAACTTTGTATTTACTACGAACTTTATATTCAAGAGAAAATTGGTATCAGATGTTTTATCACTGGTATCTTACTCCAGTTTTGATTGCTAAAATGGATATTTTTTTTAAAAAAAATGCTGGAAATGCAATTAATGGATCAGATCATTTTTTCACAGGTAGAGGTGATGCTGTAGAGTGCAACAATTCTGGAAAACGATTCATAGTAGAATGAAACAAATCTTAAAAATTGAATTCTTATGTCAGTCTGTGATCTTTTTATTAGACTTTACTAAGCCATATGTTGCCTCAGAGTATACTAAATAAGCTTTGTATATGGTAACTGCTGCAAGGATATGACATGCTTCTTACTGGAAAGGTTGCCTGATCCCTTCAGTGGAAGAATGGCTAACCAAATTGTGGGAGTATGCTTTGATGTCTAGAATAACTGTGTACCTTAAAATACTCAGATTTGAATTCAGTCTAGAAACCATTCTTAGACTATAAACTAATACATGGTCCAAAATGTGGGTTTATCTATGCATAACATTTATATTTTAGTTTTATGAGTTATTTAAATCAGAGTAGATTCTAGTAATATGGATTGAACTGATTACAACATATAATTTTATTTGGTGATTTATATCATGGTAATTATGGTTCTTGATATTCATGTTTAGCTCAAGCTTAACAGTGATTCTTAGACATATCATGTTAAGAGACTAAGAATCACAACATGTTTAACTATTTACAACTAATGAATGATATATTGGAAACCTATAACCTCCGTGACATTTTTAAATCCCTGGTTTATTCATTTATATTATATATTGTAAATTCTTTATTCATGTTCCTTCTTATATTTGTTTATATATTTTCTTTAAAGTGTCCAATAAAAAGTAAACTCAAGAGAGGGAGAATGAGAATCCTTCCAGCCCAGTCTCTTTGCAATCATGAAAGCACTCCTTATCCATTTCCACTGTCCATCATTAGTTTCTTGGTCAACAATATATAATTCAAAAGAGCATCTACAAAAACAAATTAGTCTTCAAAAACAAAATTAATAGCTGCTGCCCCCAAAGTATTCACCAATAAAAAACATATCATATGGACCAATGCTTTATTTTGAGTGGGACCAATGCCAACAATTAGCTAAACCCACCCATTTCTTTCTTTAGAAGAGTATCCAAAATTAACAAAACAATATTTTTGCACTATCTGTAGTTTTAAATAGCTATAGGAGATCTAGATACACCACTAGTATTCTATAAGTATTTGTGTACCAGACAATCCAATTCTTTATTCCATACCTCCCTATATTTTGAAACATCTAATTTGATATATTCTAACAACTATGTATAAATAACTACTGTCAACTTACTGTTTTGTAAACAGTATGTTTAAAACTTGTAATGGTAGACATGATGTGGCACTTAAATCTGTCAGCATGTATGTAAATACCGAAAGATGTTTAAACTGAAGATACTTCCCCTCTACTTTTAACAAGTAACATTTAACACTGTAGTTTTTCAAATAACAAAAATTAATCCCCAAGATTAAATGTGGGAGGGCTGTAGGAACAGATTCCTGGCACTTCTGTATTTATCCTGCAAAATGCCATTTGGTCACCTTGGTTCTTGGGTGAATGATGGGGAGTTTAGGGGAAGTGGAATTGCTAGCGATGCAACGGCACTGAGACACAGGTTGTCAAATGTTGATTGATTTCTGCCATTGTTCCCTTCCTCTGTAGATGTCTACTCTTACGATGAGGATGATATGGTTCTAGACCCCAATCTGGCTGAGCACCTGGCTCATTTTGGGATTGATATGCTTAAAATGCAAAAGGTGAGAAGAGATAATAGAATGAAGGCTAGCTGTAGTGGATGCTGAATGAGCCTCATGGTAACTTATGGAACTGGGGCGGTTATCCATTATCTGCAAGTGGTATTACCACTGAGGATGGCTTCATCAGCTTCTATTAACTGTTTCTTCCTGTATTTTAAATTCTAGACTTTTTATTTAGGAATGTGAATTTCCAAGTAGGACAGAATGCAGAGAGCATTCAGATTTATGGTCATTGTTTATTGCCCTTTTTTAATCTTTCTGCTGAGAAATTATTTCAAAATTTTAGGCACACAATTCATCGGAATATTTTCTGTATCTCTCCTCCATGCAGACTGACAAGACAATGACCGAGCTAGAAATTGATATGAACCAGCGGATTGGAGAGTGGGAGTTAATTCAGGAGTCTGGGGTGCAGCTCAAACCACTCTATGGCCCTGGCTATACGGGTATCCGTAACCTTGGAAACAGTTGCTATCTCAACTCAGTAGTGCAGGTGTTGTTCAGCATACCAGACTTCCAGCGGAAGTAAGTAGGTCTCTATTGTCTGTAGCTGCAGAGAAAATAGAAATCTGCTTTCTAGTAGTCTAAATGGAAGCCACTTACATAGCAGTCAGAAACCACGGAGTGTCTTCTGTGCCTCAAAATGTCAAGATACACCATTTGTTTGCCCAGACCAGGTCTTTGCAATTTAAGGAGAACTGCATAAAAGTGATTAAGTACAAATTTTTAAGACCCTTTTTTGCAGCCAGCTTGAGCCCTGTCTCACTTCCTTAGCCTTTGAAATAGGCATCTATGTGAACTTTAAAACTCTATTATAGTGGTTTTATTGTCTCCCACATTGCTCTATATCCATCCATGAAGTATATTTGAACAAGAAAGACAAACGTGCCAAAACCAAAGAAAAATGACATTCATGAAGTGCCTTCTTGATTTGGTGCATAAATACAGCAAACATAGGAGAGCCTTTTTTAACATGAGAGACAAGTCAAGAAAGAGATTTTGTTATACTCTTCTGAGACCTTGATGTTTCTGTAAACTGCAAGTGACATTACTTGGATCCCAGACTCTGAATTCTGATCTTTCCAAGTGTGTAAAGCTGGCTGCTAAATTGTACTTTATTTCCTTCATAGGTATGTAGACAAAATAGAGAAAATATTCCAAAATGCTCCTGCAGATCCTACACAAGACTTCAGCACCCAGGTGTAAGTAGTGTCCTAAAGGGTTGAGCCTCCATCTCAGGGTACTAATGATGCTCTCTAACAGATGGGACTGTTCCCTATAGAGATACCCATCTGTCAGTTGGATTTTGCTCTGTTCTCATTTTTCCCAGTCCATTTTGTTTCCCTGTCAATTTGGATTTTTTTAAAAGGCACACACAAAGGTGCATTTTCCTACCCATTACAGTCTTTTGTTTTATGTAATATACACATTTTTGCAAGTAATATTTCCTCAATATAATTTTGGTGGGCACATGTTCCTTTGAAAGCTCTTTTTCAATTTTGAGTTACAGTGTAAGATTTAGAAGAGTGGATTATAGAATATAACTAATTTCTAGTTCAAAATGAGTTTGGGAAACCAGAACCAAACCAGTTTCTCACCATCCATACTTGTAGGTGAATTCACACCTCAAGATAATCCATCATGTTTTTTGGTTTTGCATTAATACATTGTATAATGCAAGTCATCAGGATTTGTAAATGGTAATCTTCATTATCAACTAGCCATTGAGGTTTATTCAACAAGCCATAGGTAAAAGAAGGCATGATTTAGCATAATATCATTATTTAACATTTAAGTATTCAAGTACTAGCAATCTGAATCCAGCAATGTATGTAGGCAAAGGCTGATTAGGCTGAAAAACACTCATAAAAATATTTTGTATGTTATAACTCAAAATGAAATGTCATCATGCATATTTCCTTAAAAAATTACCATCCCTTTGCTTATTTACTTTTCTCAAGCATATGTTTCCTGCATTTATATACTTCTACAAAATTTACTCCAGTAGGGTTCAATCTATCTATGTTCTGAGCTTTTTTCTCTCTAAACAAAAATGGAAAACATTACTTAACAATAACAAGCTGTTTAGATGTTCCACATGTTCTGTAGAGTGAAGTTTTAGAAATTCAACTGCCAAAATGAAATCTGAGATTTATTGGTATCTGTAGTTTCTTAAAAAAAAAAAAAAAAAAAAAACTGAGTGAGGTGATCATCTTGTAGTTCCTTAGAGAGAAAACTAGCAAGTCTAGTGCAATAGAAAAGTGGACTACATCAGTTTTTATATTATACTGATTACCAAATTGCTTGAGATCCTTTGGAAATTGTTTGAGGCGTGGTAAGTCTTTCAGACTGGGATGGTTGTTTCTCTGGGTAAACTGGAGAGCTCCCTGGAGCTTCAGTGGACTGCAGTGTTCTTAGTCCCATCCTTACCGTCTATCTCAGAACTAATTTACATTTACCTGTTTTTCCAGAGCCAAGCTTGGTCATGGGCTTCTGTCTGGGGAATATTCAAAACCTGCTTCTTCAGGTGGAGAACAACAGTTGGACCAGAAGGTAGGGCTGAGGGATTAATTATCCTTGAGGATGGAAGTGGTGTTAACTATGGCTAACACTGACTGAGGGAAGAAGTTTCATTTTAGAGACTCATTTGAAATCTTCTGTTTTTTCAGGGCATACAAGACGGCATTGCGCCGCGTATGTTTAAATCTCTTGTTGGTAAAGGTCATCCAGAGTTTTCTACTAATCGGCAGCAAGATGCTCAAGAATTCTTCCTGCACTTCATTAACATGGTGGAGGTAACAAGGGTTTCATTGTTGGGTATTGTCTTTAGAATAGAAATAGGATGGTACTTACACTGATGACTTTGAAACGCTAGGACTTGTACAGAAGGCAAATGCTGACAGTGAAGGCTATTGACAGTGTTGCTAGTAAAATAAAATGTGGCTTGTTTATCTACAGGACAGCCTGTTTTAGGATCCCCTCTGGGGTTCAGAAAAAATAATTTTGGATGGTGAAATATCTGAAGAAAGCATAGCCATCCCACAGTGTATTTTATTCCAGAATAGATCCCTAAACTGTGTGTTGTGGCTAGCATGATGCGGTTCTTAGGAAAAGGTAGTGTGTAGCTCAGTAGGATTCCTTAGTGAAAAGTGTAACAGTCAGAGACAAGCTACTTTGGAAAACAGCTTGCATACTACTGCTTCTTTTCCCCTGAGATGTGCAGTGGTGGATAAATGTTGGATCAATACTGTATTAAGCTTGAGCATTTTCCAGGGTTAGAATAGCTGTATCAGGTGTTCCACTTTGCTCATGAGGCTTCAAGTGTTCCAATGTCTGTAATTATTTTTTAAAAATCTCCAAGCACTGGGGACTTGGAAGGTACTTTAGCTGATACAAGAGTTGCCTCCTGCTATTGGTTGAAGCTAGTGGCGGAGAGTAGGTCAAGAGACAATGCTACAAAGAAATTAGAATTCATGAGCATGTTGCTATCCATATATGTTCTCTGTGCATTGTATTTTGTTCAGGAAAGCCACTAAATAAATGCTCAAAATGTGTAAAAATAGACATAGCATAGGTCATTCCAGGTAATGTTATTAGGCAGTGTTGAAGGCCAGCATTGAAGTTTATCTTTTGTCATTTTTTCTTTGCTGAGATACTGTATGTTTTGTTGCTGTTTGTGCCAACAGCCTATAGAAATCATGCTTAACTTTGTTTCTATTTTTTTAATGATTCTGAGCCATTTTTTCCTGTAGGTTAGGTGGTAGATAGGATTTAGTATGAAATTAGAGAAGGGAGTACATTGTATACCACTTGAGCTCCTGGAGAAGGTGGAATATAACCAAAATAAATGAATAAATGAAGTATATATTTTTATAAATATATACTTCATTTATGTATATATACATATGCTTCATTATAAATAAATGAAGGTATATTTTTTCTTATTTTGAAATAGCCTTGTTTATATATTTTTACCTCCTGGATCATATGCATGGGAGTTGTTATGTTTTTGCTGCTCTAATTCCTTTCACTCCTTGTCAAATATTTTTCTTCCCCAGAGGAACTGCCGTAGCTCTGAAAACCCAAATGAGGTCTTTCGCTTCTTAGTGGAAGAGAAGCTCAAGTGCTTGGCCACAGAGAAAGTGAAATACACCCAGCGTGTTGATTACATTTTGCAGCTCCCAGTACCCATGGAAGCAGCCCTGAATAAAGGTTGGGCGTATTAGTGGGCAGTTACTGTTTCACCCATCCTTTTGAAACTTTTTTGGGGGGGGGGATTCCTTTGTTAAAACTGTGCTGGGGAAGTCTAGAGACCTTGTAGAAATGAATGTGTAAATGTGCTGATCGTCTCTTCCATACAGTATAAAACATGGCTGACGACCGCAGCAGCCATTCCTTTTCTCTTGCTCCACTTTAAAGCTAGAATTGTATATTAGACTAATTCATAATGTGGTCTGTTTCTTTATGGCTTAGCCTGTTCTAAGAACCTGACCATTGTGATTTAATCAATAAATGATAGCTAACCAACCATGCTTTGGTTCAATATGTGAACCAGACTGTTCCCCCATTATTATACCTTCAAACCACATAGTGCATTCCTTTTTTTATAATAATTTTTATTGAAAATTTTAATTACAATAGTAAAAACAAATACAAACTAAACTCAGAGAGAGAACAGGAAATAGAAAGAAAGAATAAAAAGTGCAAGGAAAGAAAAAAAAGAAAAAGTAAGATAAAGAAAAAGCGAAGAGAAGAAGTATTTAAAGAAGTGACTTCTGATCTTCATCACAACAAATATAAACAAACTTAATAACTCTTCACCCCCCCATAAACTTACAAATATCTCTTCTTTCCATAATGCATCCCTTATGTTCAGTTTATGCAAATCCATAAGTCTTCAACTTTTTAGTCCTGCTATTAGCAAAAAGTCTGTAAAGGGTTACTTTATAAAAACTTGTCCTATTTTAACCTTGGTCAAACAAACCAACTTCCTTTTGTTTCTAACAATCTTGATCTTTTAACTCATTCAGAGGTGGTCATAAGATTTGATCTCTCTTCAGTTTTTCTTTTTCCCATCTCAAAGGCTTCTTCGAGGCTTTAACAAACCTCTTTTGTAAATCCAATAAAAAGTAATTATTCAGGTCGTTCTCTTGGTTTATCATTTGTATTTCCACTTTAATTTTCAAAGCTTTAACCAACATCTTTTGTACATCCAGTAAAAAATCCTTATCTAGGCCATTCTCTTGGCTCGTCATTTGTGTTTCCACTTTAGCTACCTTCTCTGTCTTATAATCCACACTTCTCTATTTTATCATCCAGTATTTCTGGTTCTGATATTTCTACATCAGGCAAGATTTGTTTCACATCTGTCATTCCTTTGTTAACATCTTTTGGACATAGTCTATCCATAGAAGCAGACATCGTTGCTAGTTATTGTAGCTGCTATTTTCTGACCCTGTAATGGAAGGTATCTGTGAGGAGGAGACTGGTATGGGAGATCAAGGCTGTCAGGAGGGA